CTTCCTCACATACCTGAGCAGACCGTTAGCTGCGCACTGCTTGTTACTGAACCATGGTCATTTGTTGCTGTGCACGTGAACAGTCCTGAATCTTCAGGAAAAGCTTCTGCAATCACAAGGGTACATATCTCTTCTGGAAATAAAAAGTAAATTGCAGCGTAAACTATTTGAAGTACCATGTAATGTTTTCACATTGTATGTTAGAAGGGCACCAGAAAGTGCTCCTTATTGAAAGAAATGCTGAGAGAACTGCCAAAGAGCTTCTAACATGAAAATTATTTTGTATCTAAAGCAAATAAATTCACCAAACAAAGTTTACAGAACTTAGTTTAATTAAAAAAAAAATAATTTGGACATTTATACAGAATTCCACATACTGTCACAAAATCAATGTAATATGACTAATAAAAACAACCTAAAAAGTGAGGAAAAATACTTTAGACTCAATAACTTTCACACGAAAATTATTCTGTAGAAGAGGAGAAGGAAAACATTTTCTAATAGTTTTTATTTGGTTCTATGTTATCTTTCTTAATTTTAATTGTAGAATGGCCTGTCTCATTTAGACAGTTAACAAAAAAGTTATGGAATTTTTCCAATTATAATTTACAATGTATCCAAAAACTTCCTGTACTGGAAATGGGCTAAAAATTAATGACTAACAAAATATTTGGCACAATGTTGTTTTTCAGACAGCAGAACACGTTTGGTTTTTTTTTTTTGGCAACACACGCCAGTCATTCTGTGTAGCTGCAAGAAGCATGTCTGGTAATACTGTAGCACATTGGATCTTATCTGACCCAGAGGAAGATTAATGACTCATGAAAGGTCTTATCAGGAAAGTAATGGGTAACACAAGCGAGTTTTTGAACTACTGAGATCAGCTTTTTTTAGAGTCTTGGTGTGTCATAAACAGTTGAAGCTATACTGTTAAACCTCATGTGCATACTCCTGGGCTGAACTGACTCTGGGGATGCAATCTGATCCATGCTGCAGACTTCTTTCCTGCTCATTTAACAGCACAATTCTGAAAGCTGGGTATTTCAGGACTGCAGAAGAAAATGACTCCCATCATGATGAGTACTGCTGTTTGAATGAGGGCAAAGGTACTACAAAATGTAACAACCAGCAGAATTACTATTTTACAAACAGCAGAGCTAATTAATTCATAACGTTCCTTCATGTTTTTAAGTATGTTGAACAGTCACATGAGAAGAGCTATCTTTGCTCTTTAGTGATAAAAGATTTTTAATGGATTCTGCCATAATGTGGTTTGCTTACTGAACTGGTATATTTGTAAATGATACCTGATAAATTACAGTAACACTTGTAAAAGAAATGGAAAGTAAATTAGTGATGAAAATAATCAGAGTTTAAAACAGTCTTCTCAGCCGGCTGAGCAAACTACAACACAGTCGTGATCAACCAGGAGAAAACTGGCTAAACTGAAACCAAAAAAAACCCTAAGAACTAACCAAAAGACAGCTTGGGCAAAAGGCATGTGCAAGTAACATGTTGCCATTGTCTTTATTCATGTTGCTGCCCCAAACCAAGAATCACTGACATCCAGGTTCTTGCCAAAGGCTTACTACTGTGGAAAGCATAAAATACTAATTTGGTAAAAGAAATGTTCTCTAAAGATTTCCATAACACACTCTGGATACATAGTGCTCTGAGTATTTTTCTAGCTTTACGTCCTGACTTAAGTAATTATTTCTCTTTCTGTTACTGTGCTAAGTAGAATCTGATGATTTGAAGTAAATAATGTCTGTTCTACTTCCCAGCAATCATCAGCTGACAAATAATTTCATCACAAAAATGCGTTCCAGAAAGCAGCTCTGAAATGCTGTTCTCAGGGCCTTAAAACATATTTAACACTTGACTAAATGAATACAAAAGCATTCTGTTCATTGAAACATGTAAAATGCTTAGGCATGCAAGTACTTGACTACTTTGTCAGTTATTTAGAAAGAAAGGTTACATTTTATGGAGTAATCCTTTCCTTTTACGGTTCATGAGTCCATTAGGAAGAATAATCTTTGGTAAGACAGAAGACTTGCATTTTAACAAATTTCATCACTGGCAATGTGTTTACATCAGACTGTTCCTACATACTATGTGAAAGGTAGAATAGTTCTTTTATCTGCACCTTCATCTCCAAATGTTATCATTAGCTTCCTCCACTGTAATTTACAGACAGTCCTGGGAAGTAAGTATAATCTTTTATTAGCAGTTATTTGTTATGATGCAATGAACGGAGCTGTAGTCACAGTGGTGGTTTCCTGGCAAAAATCCAACCAACCAACAACCCTGCCATGTTATAATACAGAACTTCTCTCTTATTTTTCCTCTTCTTCCCCTGGCCATCAGATGTTTTCAGACTAACGGCAAAGCAATATGCCCATCAGCTGACTTCTCATTTACTTATCTGTGCATCTTTTATATAAAGAGAATGGGGAAGTATGGAAATAGATAAGAATGGAATATGCAGACCAGTATAACAGATGCTAGTATTGCAGTCCAGTATATACCTTAACTTGCAGTAACACAATGAAAAAAGTATTTAATTTACCTGTTTCTGATGGTCACTACTATATACACCCTCAGCCAGTAAGACAGCAGTTCTGGCTTATTTACTAGGATTTATGACACTCAGGAAGTCACAAGTCTTTAAAATAAACTGACTATGTTTGAAGATATGTCAAACACTACTTAGAAAATACTGAGAAGAAAACCAAGCAACAGGAAATATTATTATGGGCAATAAAATGCAATTTTAGTGTATAGAACCTAAGTTACAGCATATGTAATCAACACCCAACATGGGTGCTGTCTAACCATTTCAGGTACAGTAAACAGGAATACTGCTGTGGCAGCATGGAATTTAGTCCCTAAAGCAGTGTTCATGTTTGAGGAGAAATTAAGCCATTTATCAGGGTCAAGGAGAAGTTTATGCTACAGCTTATGCTAAGGCAGTTATGGTGCTGTAGATGACTAACCCAGCTAGTATGAAGTTGTCAAGTGTATACACAGAAGCAGAAATCAGCATAGTCCAGGTAACTGTCATGATTAATGTATGTTTTTTTTTAAAGTGCACAGTGAAAAAAAATCAGATGTTTACTTGCAAAGCATCAACAAGCAAGGACAGCTGTAGCAGTGAGATTTAATGGGGTCACTGACAGAATTCTGTAGGTACTTTGGAAGCACAGAGTACAATTAGAAATAACTGACACATAGGCTGATCAGCTCACCTTTAGTGAAGGATAATTTTAACCTATTTTCAGTTTTTCTCTTCATGTGGTATCTTAAGCTATAGCTCATTGGAGATTGCTCTCTTCAAGCCCTACTTTGTTGCTCAGCAGCGAAAAAAGGAGCCAGACAGCCATAATGCTTTTGTTTTCACAAAAAAAAGCAAGGATTCAACATGCACACTGACCTAACTGAAGCTTCTGTGTTTTGAATTTCATCAGCTATCAGAAGGCTGATTTTCTCTGTGTATGTAAGCAGTAAGGATTTATGTAACATTTGCCATATATTTTGCATTTTAAACGTTATGCAGAAACAGGAGGGGGATTTCTAAAGGAGTTATTCACTAAAGTTAAAGCTCTGCAACACAGCAGCCAAGCAGAATAAGAAAGCACAACCCAGGAGCAGTAATGAGTATTTTTTGAGATGTTTTTAGTGAACATACACAGTATTGTGCTTAGAAAAAAAAAGCATGTATATGTGGCAATTCCCTGGCAATTTAAGAAAAATTACTTCATATAGTTTAATACAGTTTGTGGCTGCCTCCAGACAGCTGAATAATGGTCAAAATAGCAACAGCTGGCAAACGACTCCATGGGATTTTTCATTATCAGGCAGCCTGTCCTTTGAAGGATTCAATCAGTACAAAGTCAAAACATCCATGAAAGAAGTACAGAGCAGGTAATTTGACAAACTGTGATGCTGGCTTTAAGTAATCTGACTAGCTATTAAAGCAGTCTGTAGAGATTTGTGATGCAAACCCATTTCTGTCTAGACAGAAGAAGGAGTGCAAAAAACATTAGGGTAGACAGAATGCACCTACAAAAACTAGCCAAAAAATCCCTCCTTGCTTCTTAATTTCTTACCTATGTGAGCTCATGGAACATTTTTCTTTTAAATCATTAATACTGATCTAGCAAAGGATAACCAATGTTTTTGAGCAGTATAACGTTTTTATTGACAGTTGAACTTTGGTTGGAAACCAGCAATTAAAGTCACACTACAACTTGTTACAGTTTATGTAAAATTCCATGGAAGTTGTATGCCTCAAAAAAAATTTTAGAAATCATGTCCATCTTTCAAAATTCTGAAATTAGATTACTTATCTAACGTAGGCATGTTGGTCATCTCAGTCTTGTATATATTCACCATCTGCACTGAAGAGCAGTTATATGTTTGCTTATGAACAAACTCCTCTGCAGGTATTGTTTTGTCTAGCTTCTTAAGAAATTCTTCAATTGCATCACAAAACAGTGCTGTATCTATTACATTTCTGGTAACCACCCAGCTTCCTGTTGTAGAAATTTTAAGATCCTTCATGATATTTAAAAATCAGTGTCACTTAGTACCAGTATTACTACTAATACACATAATGCTACTCATAATTTATGCCAAAAAATAAATAAATATATTTTGCCCAAACTTTATTTATATTCCCTTTGCATGTCAATTCCTAGACAAATAGGCCAGTAAGTGTACTGTCAGTTTTAGCAGAGAATAAGACACTGCACATTATTTAGTAGAGCTTAACAGGAACTGATACATGTCCAAATCTTACAGGGATTGTACTTAGCTCAGTGAATCCAGGGAGAACAAAATACCAAACTGAAACTCTTTCTTAGGTTTTGGGTGGCAGCAGGGTGCTTATATATATCTAACAATAGAATTATAAGCATGAAAAAAAAATAGACATTCTGCTGTCAAGCATTCACTACTGTTATGTATACTAAACTGCAACAATACAGATACCAAAATAATATTTTGAGATGCCTTCCTACTCTTGCCATGCCACCCACCTCGAGAGTGGCATGAGATACCTTGGTGTTAAAGAACATCTCTGTAACTGTGAAAACTCAGGAAATGTACCTTTCATGAAAGGATCAATTCCCCAGCACTATTTAGAAGGCTTAAGATATCTTCTCCCAGGGTCTGCAAGCTAACCAGACATGGGAAGGACACCATTCAGTATCATCAGAACGATGGTGAAGGTATGTGAGAGGGCTGACAAGGTGATTATACTTTTGGACTCAGAATTGCACCTCCCATTTCCCATCACAGGTGAGTCGTCATGAAAAGAAATTTTTAGCTTTGTGAACTATCATGAATATTCTTACCTATTCCGCAGCAACATCTATCAGACTATGTGAACATTGCAACTAACAGTACAGAAAACTACTTAGTTGACCATGAAAAAGAAATCTAGCAGGAGGTATAATATACAATTTCCTTTATGCTCAACTGTCCACACAACGGAATTTGAGCTTTTTGTCTTGAGCAGACAATTAGTGAACAACAGACAGAGAAAAGCAGAAGCTTTTACCCTCTTTACCTCCTCTCCTTTCCATGAAAGCAAAGAGAAAGATGTGTTTCTCCTAGGATTAATCTTTCACTTCTTTTTTGTAGTCCACATCCTCATGGCCACACTGCTACATCACTCAACCGCTAAGTCTGTTCTACTTGCAGTCAAAGACTGCCAATGTGACTCTTGAAAGTTTAAAACTTTCCCCCTTCCCCTACTGCTAAGGTCTTTCAGTTCAGAGATATTCTTTGGGAATACCCAGGCCTTAGACAGAAATTTTTTGTTTTATTTTATACTCCATAATTTATACTCTCTCCAGTGGGGTGTTCCATCCCACAGCCATCATATCCAGTAAAGCTGGAGGATCAGGAGGGACAAGCTCTTCCATCACCCCTTTTGCCTCTCTTCTGCCTTCTGCTGCTGGCTGCTTCTGCTGCAGTGGCCAGCATCCAAGGAGGACTTCAACCATCCTGCCTTTGATCCCAAACCCTGTGTTCCTGAACTGAGTTCCAGAACCCATCTCCTGTACTCAGCCACCCTCTGTGGCTGAGTCCAGCCTGGGACCCCCTTCCCCCGGGGCTGCCCCCCCCCGCCCGGGGGGGGCTGCTCCCCAGCCGGGGGTGACGGTGACGTGTTGCCATCGGGGGGAGTTGGGTTCCGTACTGACTTTGTACATATTCAATTTTATTATCATTATTACTATTATTATTAGTGGTAGTATTAAAGCTGTTTTCTTATCAATAAGTCTCTCTCCCTTATTCCCTTTCTCTTTCCCTTTCGAGGGGAGGGGGTTAACAGACAGCACCTGTCGCGGTTCTGGGGCAGCCCTGACCCCAGATCGCAGCACTATTTATGGCTTCAGTATAAACCCAAAGACCCAGTGAATCAAGAGATTACTCTTTCATGTGATTCTTACCAGGTTCAGTTGCAGATCGTGGCTCTGTGTATTGCATCATCATAAGAAGAAACAAACAAGAAAAACAGTATTAGGGATTTCATGAATAGACAGTCTAATGAATTAACATATTATACTGAAGTACTGTAGACAAGTACAGAATCTGTGCAGACACATTACAAAATAAGGAAGAATTAAATTGTCTGTTGGTAGCAGTAGCTTAATTATTACTTGTAGCCATTATAAAAATGTGAAGAAATGTGAGCAAGAGAGGACTGTATCCAAATCTCTCTATTCACAGACTAATTAAATGAACTTTCCCCGCACCATACCACAAGTAGCCACTTCAGATTATTGCCTTACTTTTTTTGAGAATTCTGAAGTCTGGAGAGTCTTGGATTTCAACACCCTGTCGAAACCACTTAACATGAATGGGAGGGGGTCCTCTGACCCTGCATTCCAATACCACGACTTGTCCCTCAGATGCTGTGGAGTTTTGTAGCCCCTAAAATGTAACAATCACAATTCAAATGAACTGGGAGCATTTGACATTCTTAAAAATAGTCTTTTCTTCCTTTTGTATTTCAAATTTATTTTATTGTGTCATTATATTTCGGCAATAGACATTTTCTGAGCTGTAATTTCACTCTGATTAAATTTAATATTAGCTATAGAGTTAAAAATGACTGAATAGGTTATTTTCAAATACATTCTTACTATGATCAAAGATAGAAAAGGTGTAGAAGTATTTCATTCCTTGGACCACAAGTAGACAGTGGCAGCCTGACCTTTCTTTCCATCCTTATTCCACAGAATGGAATTAAAATTCTTCAACAAGCTACACATTGATTGACTTGGTCCTGAGAGAGTAGTTTTGCTGCTTTCAGGTCAACCTCTAGAATGCAGAGTTGCTTTTCTTCTAAGCCATTTATAACCAACAAGGCAAAATTAGATGGCACAAATATGATTAGGATATATTAGCTTGTGTATGGATAGCTTCTGAGACAGTGTTATGGCTGCAATATGTGTGTGTGTGTGTGTGTGTGTGTATATCTCTGAGAAAAAAAATCAGGAAGAGTCTAAACCTTTGATGAAGAGCTAGAGTGAGAGATGAGAATCACAGTACTTTAAGGAATGGGATTGACAGGAGACAGCCACTATTTTTACCCTTGTTATCCATCTTATGATCAGAGTCTTTTTAACTATACTAGCTGTCTCATTCCCTTTCAAGTTATTAATAAAGGTTCAGGCCTTGATGCAGCAAAATACTTGAAGTTAGGTCTGAGACCATTGTTACCCCTAGTTACTATTCATAAATCTCTGGTTAACCAATACATGAGAATTCTGTTACATAGAAACCTAAAAATCTTTTGGTTATTCCCTGAAGTTTGTATAGAAAAAAATTTGCATGAGGAAGCTGAAGAAACGTATTTTTTGTTAACATCTGGTTCATTTCTTCTGTCATTAAAGTTGTTTCCATTTGGTACATCCCAAACTGGCTTTATCCAGTTAATACTAGATTTCACAGACAAGAGATTTCAGGACTGGGAAGGAACAGTGGAGTTTTGATTGCTTTAGTAATTTCTGAATGGGGGATGGATTTCTCCTATTTCCCACTCTTCCTAGGAAGCTGCCTGCCTCCCTACCATACAGCAACCACATTCTCTAACCTCTTCACCTCCACTATTCATTTTCTTATGGTACTTGCAATATTAGTGAAGAGTTGGGAAGGATAGAATCAGACCTTTCCTGGCAAGAAAAAGGACTATGATGGAGCCAGGCTGGAAAGCTGTGAAGAACAGGGCTTACTCTTACTTATCTCTAGGCAAAACTACATGTTGTTCCATATTAGCTTTTAGTCAACTCTTTGTTTTTCTTTTAAGTAATAATCAGAAATACCTCCTTCATTTTGACTTCAACAAGTGATGACTACATAATACTTATGGCTATGGAAATGATCATTTGAAGGCAAATCAAAAATCATATCTTCAATTACAATTCTATTTTAGAGATTAGGGAAATATGCTGTCCTTCTTTTTGCTATTACCTAATTCCCACTTCTAAAGTTTAATTTGTGATGGATGTGAAAAAAAAATTGACTTAAATAATTACTTAAGAATTACTTTTAAGAATTAAGTTTCTCCTCTAGAAAGTCTATGTCTTACATTTTGCAAAACATCTCATAACGTTTTGTAATCCCGAATATCTGAGTTGCTTTTTTAATTAAAATACCTGCATGGATTATTCTTTCTAAAACAAAGTCAAAAAGCATGTGTTATTTGTTCTTGTTTTATTTTATGAAGAATTCTTAATGGAGGACTGTCATGTGCACAAGACAAACACTTACAGAATATCAATGTAATTCTGCTAGTCATTTCAATAGGGCAGAAGGCCTGAGAACTTCACAGTTGCAGTGGAAAGTATTTTCCTAGGAAGTTTCATTAGCATTGAAAAGAATAATGAAAACTGTAAAATTTTTAACATAATCAAACTTTCCTTCATTAGGATACATAATTTTGAGGTTTCCTCCTGGATGACCAGAGTGTGATATCAAAACCTTGATGGATAAAGCATACCTTTGTAAAAACAGGTGCAGAACAGCCAGACTTAGGTCCATCCACACGGTGGAGGTATGAAGTAGGGCTTTGAATCTGCAAAGCAATGCAACAATGCTATCAAATTGAGAGAATATTGGTTTCAATAATATGGCCTGCATATATCTATGCCATAAGGCAAACTCTCTCAAATGTACAGTCTTATTATGGTGGTGTTCTAGCACATTTCCTGAGTGACATCACTATTCACATCTGTTATACTTCTGAAATCCAAATGCAAGCTTTAGGGGCTTCTATATTTCATACCAGAAGTTTGCATCTCACTGCCTTTACCTAGAAGTATTTTGAGAGTTTGATTACTGCTAATGTCATTCAAGTTAGTCCATTGGACTGAAGCATTTTTTGTCTCTCCTGTTATTACATCCCTAGGCTGATGTAGTAATAAATAAATCTAGGCACTGAAAAATTTATCAAGGTTAGCCAAAGGAAGGGAAAAGATGTTATTTATATTTTATTATTTGTATGCTAACTCGAAGTTACCACAGTGGCATTAAAACTTGGTACAAATTAATGAACATTGATTTTCTACATTTAACTTCTAGACAGTAAAATTTAATTTCCTCTAAAAGGCTCAGAGACATTACATCAATATTTAACAACAAAATTTCAAACTTTTGCTAAAAAATATTGTAGGTATCAATTTCTATTACATTCCTTTGGAATTGGACCAAGTCACTATTAAATGATACATTCAGTAATTTCCATTATCTCCAGATCTGTCAGCTGATCACATGCTATGTTGATCCACACTGTGTAAGAATCCATATTTATATTTACTTTTATGCCCCATTTGCTATATATATACTTAATTTTTTTTAAAAAATTAATTCTTAATAAAAAGTAACTTCATAGTTCAACAATATAATTCCTCAAAATTTAAGGACTTGGAAATTTTGAAATAAAACCTAAAATACTTCTACAAATTTAAAAATTGGTTTCTAAACATACCTGCTGACTGGGCAGAGAGATAGGTTGAATAACAGCTGTGGTGACTCCAGACTTTGGTGTAGAAGATCCTATTGTCAAGGAAACAGATGTGGTTTTCTTTTGGGCTCTGAAAAAAAACAGAAAACAGCAAACACTTGATAAGATCTGAAATCAGAATATGTTAGTTTCTAACTGATAAGCCACCTTGTATTTTCTATATCTTGAAACATGTCATTATCAGCTGAAAGGATCAACATTGGAGGAAGCTTGAATAGAACCCAATCTTTGGCTAATTTATACTTTCACACCCATTAAAAAGCACTGATTTAAAATACAAATGAAAATGTATTTTGTTTGTTTCTTTAATTGTAGGTCTCTGCATGGTTTTTTTTGGAGGCACAGGGCAGGGTGAATACAAATGAAGACTTGGTTAACTTAAAGTTAATTCTGAATATGAAAAGTTGATATCAGAACAAGAGTTGTCTAGGGGCTAGAATCCTCTGACAGAACAAGCACATTAATAGAATCTGTGTTACAATACTATACTTTTATATCACATGAGAGAAGGAGAAAAGACATACACAAATATACCCAAGATGCTTATTCACATCTACAACCACCAAATATTTTCCAGTGCCCCTTAATAAGAACATTTGCACCACATTGGTTCTACTTTGCACACTTACTGTGGCATAGCTCCAGATTTTGATTTGAAAATTAAACTTTCACTCTCTGAATCTGTGGAACTGGCACCTGGAAAAGAAAGTATTTTCAATAATGTCATATCCTTTTACTGGTGCATTTAATGTCTGCAATCCAAAGAAACTGTGCTATTTTCGCATTTCACTTCAAGAACTCTCTGTAATAAACTACTGCACTTTCTCCTGTCTGATGAGGGATTGTAACTGTGTACATTTGACAGTTATAGAAATCACAACCATGCCAATTTAATTGCAAACTGTCTTCCCTCTGCTCTTAGCTGTCTTCCTTCATATTGAAGCAAATGTGGCCCAAAAAAAAATATGCTTACTACTATTACTTTACTGGAAACGTATGATTTTATTTACTTGAATGTTAAAGCCTGAAGCTTGAACAAACATATGGCTTATACACAGATAAATCTTCAACATTAAGTAAGAGCAACTCAGTACAGCAAGACATTTTCAGACTAAACTTGTGTTACCCACAATCTCCAGAGTTCAGACTATTTATATTAATCTATGCATAACATTTATATGCTGGTATTTCTTGCCAGTGGAAGTCTTGATATACTCTATGTGTTTGGCAATACCCTGAACTCATTTAAAGAACAAAATACAAAAGCACTTATTTCCTTTGTCTTAAATTTTCCTAACAACTTTTACTTCACACAACATTTATTCTAGACATTTATACAGTACATACTATTCCTCAAAGGATTTGTGCTTACGTAGGCATAGATGTATTTGTGACACAAATCAGAGGCAATTAATAATCAATATCCATCATACAGATCGATTCCAATGAAACAATGCTTGGACTGAGAAACCTGAGCACCTCGTGTATTTAGAAAGTTTAGACTACAAAAATCAAAGGAACAAGTAGCACAGGAAAGGTAAAAAGAGAGAAGTAGTGCCAAGTGAGCAAAGTGGGTCTACATGAAAACATTTCTCTTGAGCAAAGGATAACCAGGTCTTGTGTGGCTGGGCCTGCTGCACAGATGGAAGTATGAGGCACCACTGTCATCAAGGCTGAAGTACAAACCAATGCATGGGTCACAATGTGGTTTCCTTAAATGCCATAGGAGAGGAGCCTAACAACTTGCACTATTCTCTCTCTTTCAAAGATACATGCTATAGAACTTCAAGATAGCACTTCCACATAGTAAATCTTTGACAGATATAAAAAAAGAATTGTTTTATTCGCTCTATCTCTCTACCTGTTTCTTTAGTATACTTCTGTTGTTACAACCACACAGTATTTATATTTGTACTATACCTGAGTATTTCTGAAATCATGCTTAATTCTGTAAAGAAAAGTCTTATTAGAATCTGAAAGAATGAGAAAAGCCTTGGGAATTTTGCTGTTATACCCCAATCTGGGATAACAAAATTCTTAGAATAAAAAACATAATGAAACACTATAAATGCACATCTGTCATAATTTATCTAATTTATAGTGAAAAGTTTATTGCTTTGTTAATCAAAAGCTATTTAATCATTTTTCTGTGCTACTACTCAAATTTGTTATGAGTTTTTCTTACATTATTTTTTATATGCTTTCAATTAACCACTTAAATTAATTTGGATGTGTTGCAAAACTGGTAACAAAATACATATAGTAAAAATGTTTGAAAGATGCGTGAAGTAAAATAAGATCCGATATGCAATTAATATAGTCATGCTTAAAATATCATCCTCCACTAAAAAAATACATTTAATAATTGTACTGATGCTCACGTCATTAACTTTACTCAGAGAAAATAATTACGAGTAATTTTGAAGTCAATAAATATTTCAACAATTACTAGCAGTCGATTTTGGACAAATCCAGTATGACTGACTTTTAACCTGACTTAAAGCCAGTGTACTAAATATGAAGAATTATAATACATTTATCCAGAACTGAAGAACTCTCATTTGGGACAGCCACATTCACCTGCACTGGAAAGAATTTCAGAATTGAGATGGGGATTACTGCTGTTGTGAAAATCATTACTGGTATCACCAGTCAGATCTTTGATTTACAGAGGGTACTATAGAAAAGCTAACTGTATGCCAAAAGCTATGCTTGTTCCTTGCTTTCCATTCTTAATTTTGAGCAATCTACCCAATGATTCTTGGAGCATTCCTTCAAATACCTGAATTAATATGATGTGATGTGCAAAATCTGTTGTATTAAAGGGATGCAGGGCAACAATAATAAAAATACCACCAAAAATATACAGAAACAAAAATAAACTTCAGCTTAGTTATCCTTTCGTGTATGTGTATCTTCTTATTTCACCTCTTACCTTCAATGAATATTTCAGCTGATGTACTATCTGAACCAAGGGAATTTGAAGCCAGACAAGTATAGCGTCCAGTATCGTCTTCAAAGGCTTCTGCTATAATTAGTGAATGAAGTCCTCCACTTCCAGAATGGATCTGAATGTCAGGGGTATTATGGAGTTCTTTTCCTTCACAGAACCATCTGCAGCCCACACACATTTAAAAAGACAGAGGAAAAAAAAAAAGAACATAAAAGATTGGTTCAGTCTCATGGCACACAAGAAGACACGACATGACTCTGTGCAAAATTCTATATTGTAACTGAAATCAGCACATGGTGCTTTGAAGTGTTTAATGATGAGTCTTTAGAAAATAGCAGCCTCACTTCTATTGCTCTTTTTTTATTTTAGTAAACTACATGTAGTTAACAGAAATAAAACATGTTACAAAACTTTATTCTGAAAATACTAGATTGTAAAACTGGAGATTTCATGCTTATTTCAGAATGAAGAGTTAAGAAATCTAAAAGATTTACACAGAAGACAATCCCCCTTAATAACATCCAGAACCATAGACATGCCTTCTGTTTTTACAAACAATAGATCTTTTATTCCTGAAGGAAAAAAAAAAAAAAAAGTTGATAGTGGCATTAAAACCATATGTAATTGTCTTCTATAATTAAAAGACTAAGTTCCTCTTCTGTTGTTCCCAGAAAGTCCATGCAGTAAGTATCATTTTTAGAAGGAACTAACAAACTTCCATTTGTTTATTCAGTACACCCCTTTAGCCTACTTTTACAACTACAGGGCTTGGACACAAATCTGTTCTGTCAGCTTGATTACCAAAATTAACATTTGTCTTCCCCCTCTCCCCCTCTTTTCCTCCCTTGTCACATGTCCTCTCTTCTCCTGGTGTAAGGACCTCTGCTACTATTTCTGCTTATTAGACCTTCAGTCCTAATCTCTGTACAGCCTTTCCTAAGTTACATTTTCAATTATATGCACAAGAGAGAGGTTAATTCAATTTCTAGACAATAACAGACAAGAGCCTGTAATATGAGGCTTTACTTACACATTAGTGTATTTTTCTTTCCTTTCCAGAAACACCCTGCAAATGAAAACCTCTCCTCTAAGCCTAATTATTTTCTCAGATAGATCTCGTTTTAGTTTCATGCAAATTGTATGGTTGTCTACTGTTTCCCAAATGCCATGCTCAGAAAATGTTTAGGAAACTGTGTTGAGCCTAAATTGAGCTGAACCTAAAATAAAAAATCTATGTATATTAGTTTGTCAGGCAATGTTTAATAAGTCAACTATTTCCTTAGGAAGACAAGTTCTACACTGTCCCTTTACTCATACATAGACACAGCCTCAAGTGGGAGCTCATCCTCAGCACTGGCTGGAACTGAGACTCATTGCATCACATCAGTGACATACCACTGAAGACAAGTCCTGACCTGCTACATCAGACACTGTCTGCCACAGAGAAAAACATGTAATCAAGCAGTTCAATACCAAATTACCTCAGCCATCATTAAGGTGATGTTTGATGAATGGGAAACAAGCTTGGTGCGGAACTTTTTATTGTGGAAAGAACTTCACAAGGGGCAAAAGCAGAGTTATTTGAAATTAATAACACTGGAGCAGACTTAGTTATATTCTTTTTCCTTTTCTAAAAGTATTTATTGTTTCTTTTCAATCTACAAAGGAGAAGGTTAATTAATGTGAATTCCTTTTGGAGATTACATCAAAATTAAGAATGAGAAAATTCTCAGTTGAATGTTTATCCTGAAACTAGGTTCTAGTTGCCAGTTCAGTTCAAAAGAGTTTCTGAATTAAAACTAAGGGTCAGGTAATAAAAAGAAATTAAGTAGTTTTTGTCCAAACACAGACTGAATTTTAGTTTTCCATCTTTTTTATAGTATGGGCTATTATAGAGCACAAAACTGCTATCTACAGGCTTCGTCAGCCTGAGTGCCATTACACTCGGAATAGTCATGGTAAGAGGACTTTCTGCTCCTGAAAAAGATTCAAAGACAAATCTTTGAAGGCATTCTTTCCTTCTGCAAAAGGATCACTAAAGCAAGCAATCGAAGCACTATCAAAGGGGGACCACGCCAAAGAAACCAGGAGGACCCACGGCTGGACACAGACAGCCACACAGCAAGTTTTACAAGAAAGCTCCACCTTTATGCTAACTAGGGCAGCATTAACTCATGTTCAGTCTATTCCAGCCTACTGAACCTACTGAGGATAAGAAGATTACTATCTAGCTGTGAGAAGGTAATAATGCTTCTGGAGAACCAAAATACCCAAAACCAAACCAAAATACAATGAAAGTAACAAAAAGGAACAAATGCATTGCCACTGCAGATCATTTGCAAAAACAGAGAATCCCCTCTGTCAAGAACACTGATTTGAAAAGATGACATATTTCACCTATTCACAGGTTCACCTATTCACAGGAACCCATAAAGGTTCCTCTGAAACCTATTTCACAGGTTCTAGATACCAAGTACAAAATTTATCTACTCATTTCCCTATCCCTTTGTTTTAAGTTCTCAGTATTGTAAAAAGTCCCCTTGAAAGAGAACAGAAACTGCTGTAAAATGTCAGATAAGGGTGGCAAAAAAGTCAGACAAAAGTCATGTACATTTTATGTGATAGGAATTCTTTCCTACTTTCTTCTTCACCCTGTTTCCTACATCCCTCTTCCTGCTTGCATTTCCACTGTACCACTCTTTGCCGTGCCTCTTCTGCAACTATGCTTAGTTTTCACCTACATTTATCTACTGCATGTTAAAACAATACCAATTAAGTATCTGCTGCAGACATTGAAACACTATCACTAGACTGGAAATTCAATACTCCAAGGAAGCAAACCGTGGGTATTTTGGTAGCAGGGGAACGATGATTAAGATACCCATTTTTCATGCTTCAAAGCCTGCTTTGCTTTTCCACTGGCTACATTATTGTGTGACAGCAAAACTAGAATGGCAAACAAAAGAGGGCAGGCAGATGCCAGGTGTGCAGCACCTCGTGCACGCTGACATCAAGTAGCAATTCACACAATATGTCTTTCTTTTCCACTCTTCTTTATGCCCTCTCGAACACTCCATGCATGAAAATACATATGAGCATGTGTGTCTGGGATTTTAATGACTGTGAACAAAATATAAACCGAGTTGAACAGCATGCTGACTGAGTAAGCACCAGGGCCTTAAGAAAAACAGTTCAAGGTTCTCTCTAATGGATAATCCTGCTGGAACTTGTGTTTTTGGAGAGTCACTGAGGAACAGAAAGTTTTTCCTTTCTGCACACTCTTAAAAGTTAATTTAAAATGGCAGCTGAAGTGAAAGTTTAAAATATAGCCTTAGGGAAGAATAGGGAACTCTGACCACTACAAAAAGTGTAGAGAGATAAGTTGTAAATTAAAAAGTAATTTTATCCTTAGTGGTGTCAAGTGTGTCCAGACAGAAAAGTTAAAATGAAATACTCTGATGCTCCTGCACTGGCAGAGTCAGTGTTTCCTTCACAATACTGTGTGTAACTTCCATTTTATTTTTCCTCCGTTCAATTTAAGCAGTCCAACACTTCCATACCGTAAAACATTGATACATAAAGATTTTACTTGATTTTTTAAAATAAATCAACTTCTCAGTTTAAGAATTAGAGTCCACTGCAGTAATCAGATTATTCAGATGCTTACGTTCTTTAGACAGTGCTCAATGACTGTGCAACTTGCAATGCAATATTTTTATGCCTTATATACAATATCATCATTTGTACAGGCAATTCATAAAAGATTTGACAATAACAACATACATACCTTAAGTATTTATATTTTGTAATCTGAAAATAAAATTAAGATATAAATATAGATGCTGGTGCTCTGCCTGAACCTCCACTTAAGCAATTAAAAAAAAATGGCTCTATATGCTGAAAACCACAGAAGCAAATTTAAAATAAAAAGTGTGTTACATTAAAACCAATATACAATATATGCTTATTCAGAATTTCACTGAATCTTCAGGCGCTGCCCAGTGTTCTCCAAGTTCTCACAGGGAGGACTTCAGTGTGAGGCACTGGAACAGGCTGCCCAGGGAGGTGGTGGAGCCACCACCCCTGGAGGTGTTCAAAACATGTGTAGTAGATGTGGCACTTGGGCACATGGTTTAATGGTCATGGTAGTGTTGGGTGATGGCTGGACTTGATGATTTTAAAGGTCTTTTCCGATCTTAATGATTCTCTGATTCACATCCACCTGAGTAAACTGCACAATTAGGTATCTGGGGACCAAAACTGCTTTCTGAAAGTAAAAAAAAAACCAACAAAACAAAACAAAACACCCAAAGAAAAACCCACAGCGTAAAACCACCAACCAAAAACAAAATCCCAAATGGTTGTATTTTCAAGACACTTACCAAGATTTCAGCCCACCATTTCCTAAAAGTTAATTCTGCTCCTCCTGAAGTCCAGCTTTGCATAATGCTCTGTGCAGGGATGCACAAAGGAGAGGGTACAGAAGGTAATAGGTGTGACCAGCTGAGCCATGGTCTACAAAGCCTCCCAGAACAGTGAGCAGTGGCTTCCGCCACTGTTTGCAGGCTGCAGTGACTCCTGCAAGGAGTCTGTGGGACAAGGATTCTGCTTCACCATTTTTCATAAACTGAAATGAACTTTGCAACTGTTGGCCTCACTTTATAGCTTTTAAAAAACATATTTGTGATAGAGACTTTTAATTACCTAAATCATAGAAGTATTCATGTAAGAAAACACAAAATTGATGTTAGGAAGTAAGAAAACTGAATGCAACGCTAAGCAAAGCAAATATTTATAGTTATCTACACTAAATCTTTTAGAGAACACTCTTTACTTTACAGGTTAAAAGGCTTTAAAATAATTTCCTTATCAATTATGTTTACCTATTTTGCATTTCTCTGGTGCATGCCACTGATTTCAAGTCTTGTTATTGCTAAATTATTCTTAGGCACAATAATAATTTTTGCCACAAAATGCTCAAGTTACTGTATTTACTGAAATTTACTCCTACTATAAATTTACAACTGAGGCAACTACCTTCATTTTTCTGAGGCCCTTCTGCTTTACCTCATCTTTTTGTTATAAGCTATTTTTAACAGAGTACCCTAGCCAAAACAATTGTGTGCATTCTAACATGAGCTAAATGAGTATAGGTATTTGC